TAGTTTTGCAGAAATGGCAAAAATGTCTGCTTATTTAAAGGATCATACACAAGAAAGATATATTATTGTATGGAGAAGATGGATAGATTATATTCAGAAAAAGTATGGAACTAAAAAGTTTCATTTATTTTATGAATGAATCTTATAGTAAATGGTATAGAGAATTGTTTAGGATGTTATTGGAGTTAAAGGTTAAGTATGATATTTTCTTTTTCCTTTTCTTTTTTTTCGTGTTTCTTTTTCTTTTTTTTTCCTACTGTAAATTTTATTATTAATAACCCTGTATTCTGCTCTGGGAAGGGAGGGGGGTTGGGGGTGGGAGGGTGGAAGAGTGGGGGGGTAAGGGTAATATAGATAATGGTAGTTCCTGGGCAGTTCCCCTCTGCTGCGTTCATGGGCTTGATAGGGATGAGAGGAGTAGAAGGTGTAGAGAGGAAGTAGGACGGTAAGAGGTGAGGGGGAGGGGAAGAGAGTAGGAGGGGAGGAGAGAAAGAGGAGGGAAGTAGGGAAGGTTCTATGAGAGGGTGGACACAGCCTGGGGGGAATGGGCAGGCGGTACCAATGGTTATGAATTTATTTTATTCTAAAATTGTATTTTTCATGATGTATAAATGGAAAAAATAAAAAACTTTTAATAAAAAAAAGATAGAAAAATGTGGGTTAGACAGCATCACCATCAGATGGATTCATAGTTGGCTGACCAGCCGTTCTCAGCGTGTGGTTTTCAACAGAACAGCATCTACATGGAGGGAAGTGTGTAATGGGGTGCCCCAGGGGTCTGTTCTAGGCCCAGTGCTCTTCAACATATTCATCAAGGATTTGGACAAGGGGATAGATGGGAAACTCATCAAATTTGCAGATGACACCAAGCTGGCAGGAATAGCCAACACTCCAGAAGATAGGCTTAAAATACAGGAAGATCTGGACAGACTTGAACACTGGGTGCTATTTAACAAAATGAAATTCAATGGTGAAAAAAGTAAGGTTCCACATTTAGCAAGAAAAACCAAATGTACAGGTATAGTATAGGGGGCACCTTGCTCAATAGTAGTAACTGTGAGAGGGATTTCCGAGTCCTAGTGGACAATCACTTAAATATGAGCCAGCAGTGTGCTGCAGCTGTCAAAAAAGCCAACACAGTGCTAGGCTGCATTAACAGAGGGATAGAATTAAGATCACGTGAAGTATTAATACCACTTTTGTCATTTTGTCTACCTATCGAGTCCTTAACAAAGACCTGGGATAGGCAGAAGTGGATGTTTGATGTTATTACAGATATCATCACAGGATGGAAGCGGTTCCTAATAAGGCTGCCTTTTGCAATCGACTAATGGCGAATTTGTCAATGCCAATGGTGTTCAAGTGGTGTTCTAGTTGTTTTGGGATTGCACCCAAGGCACCTATTACTATTGGTACTACCCTTGCTTGCTTTTGCCACAGTCTTTCTATTTCTATTTGTATTTTGTTATCTTCTCCGGTTCTTTCTCATCTATTCTGCTGTCTCCAGGCACTGCCACGTCCACTATCCAGACTTTTTTGTTTTTCTTATCGACAATTGTTAAGTCCGGGGTGTTATGTTGCAGGTGCTTGTCTGTTTGAATTCTGAAGTCCTAGAGCAGTTTAATTTTATCATTTTCTATGATTTTCTCTATTTTATGATCCCACCAGTTCTTGCTTACAGGCAAATCATATTTCTTGCAGATCTTCCAATGTACCATTGTTGCTACTTTGTCACACCACTGCTTGTAGTCAGTCTGTGCGATCTTCTTGCAGCAGCTTACCAGGTGGTCGACTGTATCTTCAGCATCTTTGCATAGGCGGCACTTACAGTCTGTTGGTGTCTTCTCAATTTTGACTTTATATGCATTTGTCCTTAAGGCTTGATCTTGTGCAGCCAGAATTAGTCCCTCGGTCTCTTTCTTCAATTTTCCTGCTCTTAGCCATTGCCAGGTCTTGTTATTATCTCCTTTCCTAGCTATTTTTTTTTTTATGTATTAGCCATGTAGTGCTTTGTTTTCCCATGCCTCTACTGTGTTCTTCATTTAGTCTTTCTTGTAGGGCAGTTTGGTCTCTCCAGTAGTCAGTAAGCCTTCCTGATATACTAATTTCAGTGTATCTTCATCACTGTCCTTCAGATATTATTGCAAAGCCATTATTTCTTCTTCAATCATCTCATGTACTTTCAGCATTCCACACCCACCTATTTGCCTTGGTAGATAAAGTCTGTCAACGTCACTGCATGGATGAAGGGCATGATTCATTGTTGCTATTTTTCTGGTCTTCCTATCCATTGCTTTTAGTTCTGCTTGAGTCCAGTCCACTATTCCAGCTGTGTATCTAATGACTGGCATTGCCCAGGTGTTGATTGTCTGTATGGTATTTCCTGCATTGAGTTTGGACTTTAAGATCTTCAGTGTATTGATGTATTCACCTCTAATCTTTTTCTTGACCTCAGTGTGCTTGATATTGTCAGCTTGAAGGATGCCCAAGTATTTGTAGCAATCTTCCTCATCCAAACTCTTAAAGTTATTTTCATAGGGTATCTTGATTCTTTCAGTTTTCACTATTTTTCCTTGTTTGATAGTAAGTGTGGCACATTTGTCCAAGCCAAACTCCATTGCAATATCTTGGCTATATATACGGACAGTGTTGAGCAGCGATTCTATTTCAGATGATGTTTTTCCATACAGCTTCAGATCATCCATATAAAGGAGGTGGGATAGTCTGGCAGATGTTTTTGATATTTGATAGCCACGTTGTTGCTTTTGTTGTTGTTGTTGTTGATATTATTATTATTATTATTACTTCTCCCTCCAGCTTTCTATTTTAAACCTTACTGAAGTTTTATTCTGTTTATTTCAAAGGGCAATGTGAAGCCTCACATCAAATTGGTCCACTTTTCTGATGATTTTATGCATTAGAATGGAATTGAGGTGCTCTGTGTAATGAAATGGGAAAAGAAATTAAACACAGCTATAGAAAAAAAGAGGGCAGTATTGGTTCTGACTGATTCAATTGGCTTTGGAACAAGGATTTCTCTCTTGACTCTCATCATGCAGCATTTTGTGATGTATTCATATTTACATGTGAGCTAGTTTGAAATGTATAGATCTGTGGTCCTTTAATAATAAGTACACACAGATAAACTGATTGACTAATAGATTATGAGGCTCAGAAAGACCATCCTAACTACAAAGCAACCATGCATATCGTGTAGCTCTTGAAAGGCTTGTTTTTGACTCAGTTTTTTTATTGTTGTATTTTCGTGGTGCATGGTTAGCTTCATATGATCATAAGATATAATTGTATTCATTTGCAGTTGAGTCATTCCAATTTTGCTGCAGCAAATTGTCTGGTTCTGCTGTTGCAAGCCCCATTTTGAAGCTGATTTTGCTTTCAAATGTGGTGGGATAAATTCTGGCTGATTGGAGAGTTAAAAATAATATGGGGGGTCCTATAAAGCTGAAATCTGTCAACTATATTCCATAAAGTATTCCTAAGTTGCACATCTTATTCTTAAAAAAAAGTAGAGAAGGGAACTAGGGGATTAGCCATTTTGGATCTAATTTTCACTAACAGAGATGAAATGAAAGAAGGTGTTGAAGCCATAGGAACCCTGGGAGGAAGTGATCATGCAATATTAGAATTCAACATTATAGAAGCACAACCAATAGAACACAGTCAAACTAGAGTCTTGGACTTCAAGAGAGCTAATTTCAATAACCTTAGAGAGGGCTTGGGAAGGATTCCATGGATGAGAATCCTCAAGGGGAAAACAACTCAAGAAGCTTGGGAAATTTTGAAAAATGAGATAATAAAAGCCCAGTCTAGCACAATACCAACAAAGAGGAAAAATAACAGCTCTCAAAAGAAACCAGCATGGCTGCATAAAGAACTCTCTGACAAATTGAAAGATAAAAAGGACAAGTATAGAAAGTGGAAAGAGGGGCAACATAACTAAGTCAGAATATCAGCAAATAGCCCGAGCCTGCAAAGATGAAGTGAAGAAAGCTAAGGCTCAAAATGAACTAAGGTTTGCGACCAAAGTCAAAAATAACAAAAAAAGCTTCTTTCAACATGTAAAAAACAAGAAAAAAGTGAAGGAAATGATTGGTCCATTAGTGGGTGGAAGTGGCAAGAAGGTGACAAGCAACAGGGAGAAAGCAGAACTATTTAACTCGTTTTTTGCATCTGTCTTTACACAAAGGGAAAAAACAGACCAACCTATCAAAAATAGTGCCATAAAAAACAAAATAGAAACACAAGTTAAGATAGGCAAGAAAATGGTAAGTGAGCACCTGTCCAGCCTAGATGAGTTCAAATTGCCAAGACCAGATGGATTACACCCCAAGGTTCTCAAGAAACTGGCAGATGTGATATCGGAACCACTGAACTATATTTTTCAAAGATCCTGGAACACAGGGAAATTACCAGAGGACTGGAAAAGAGCTGATGTGGTTCCCATCCTCAAAAAAGGAAAAAAAATGATCCAGGAAATTACAGACCTATCAGCCTGACCTCAATACCTGGGAAGATCCTGGAAAAGATAATCAAACAACGAATCAACGAACACCTAGAGGAAAACAAAGTCATTACTAAAAGCCAACATGGGTTTGTCAAAAATAGATCATGCCAGACAAATTATTGATCTCAGCCGCATTCATTTTTTCTGAAGACTTACGGTTTAATAATAAAATAATTTCATATACTCAGAACACTATCTTATAACTTTAAGAAGAATGGTGTTCTGGGACAATTATTCAATGTAGACATGCTGTTAACATTCAGATTTTCCATACTTCTCAAAAAGATCAGAGTATTTGAATAGCTTTTATGGACTATGGTGGGACACGTCTCTTGGACATGTGAAGTCTGGATGTTAAAGGAAGTTTTAGTTCAGAACCACCAATGTGAATTTGTTCTAGGCAGCTACTGAAAACTAGCACAAACTCCAGAACACCAAAATAATCTAGTTTTGGCTTCTTTGATGTTAGGATATTGCAATCTTATTCAAATTCTTCTTCTGAAGTGTCTTAACTGGAATGCATATTGAATGTTTAAGGTTCTGAAGAGGTGCTATGTAATTACGAATTGAGATCAAAAGGAAAGCATCACAGGCAGCCTTTTCAGCTTGTTGCAATCCAGAAATAAGATACAGGAACAAAGATAACTACAAACTATTATACTTACTGCGTTTTTGTATAAAAAATACAACACCATGTTGGCAAGTCGGGAGTAACACCAGTGGCCATGCACAAGAAGGAGTTTCTCTAAATATCGGAATTTTGGAACTGCAAAGTCACTCGCCATCACAGCCTTCAATGCAAGAACAATTAAAAGTGACATTATTTATGGATGATGCTTTTTAAACTATAAAAATTACATTAAAATGTAGATGGCACAGCTATACATCTACTTATATCACTGGTGTAAAAATGATAGTGATTATAAAAAGAGAAAATGTCTTTAACTTGCTTATTAATGTTGTCTACAAAAGAAGGCTCATTCATAAGTGGGTATTTTTGTTAGGGCTGTACATGTTTAAAATGATATGGAAGAGATACATTGGACCTTGTTCCAGTCGATTTCCTCTCTACAATGCAAAAACAGTAGCCTGTTTTTAGCTTTCATGTGAGGAAAAAAAGTACAGCTGCTTTAAGATTATGAATAGACTTCTTAAAGAATAACATATTTTTTTAAAAAGATTGTGACTTCTGTATAAGCTTTCACTATTCATTCCTATTATGTATTAGCCATCTCAAATTTAGTTTTTGTCCTACATAGATCCTCTGTGAGTGAGATAGTCAGTTTCCTAATTTGATAGGTAAGTAAGTAAGTAAGTAAGTAAGTAAGTAAGAAAGTAAGTAAATAATGAAGTTTTTTCTGAAAAAAATCAAACAATTCTTTGGCATTTCTATTAAATTAATCAAGTGCATTTTCCCCTATAAATCTATTTCAGATCTTTAAGGGCAAGAGAGGGGGGGTATTTGAGTGCAAATGGACCAATTCATTATTATTTCATAGATTATGAAAGCAATAAATTATAGTCTGAGTGACAGTGACTTCTTAAAAAGAACTTTTATGGATGTCAAGACACTGTGTGTCCCTGAAGGTAAGGACAGTTTTGAGAAGACTTCTTTGAGATTTTTATATATAAGACACTCATATATTTAAAGAAAGATTGCAAGAGAGTATTTCTTAGGATGCAATTCTCCAGTCCAAAAAAGAATATCAATGGGTTTTAATTTCCAAATGTAAACATTCAATTCATTAATATAAAAAAATTGGACTATTTAAGGGGATAAAATAGCAGAATAAAAAACAGCCTAAAAAGCATGTCAAGATTAGTCAACTAAATATTCTGACCTAAAGAAATTTAGGGAGTTCAATCTCTATGGCTGAAGCTCATTTCACACTAGATGTTTGTAAATTATAGATTTTTGCTATTTTACATTTACACATGAGAATGTAATTTGTGAATATGAAAACAAGACTTGTTTACCCATTTCTGGATGTCATGGGCTAAAAATGACAAAACTGAATAGCTCTAACTTTCCCAAATTATAGAACATAAAAAACAGCCCATATGGATTAGGGTTGTGATCAATCTATTCCAGCATTCAGGAGTATCAAAGAGAGTCTGTCTCAGTCAGAAAGACAGGTCAAGAAGAGGACCAATTTAGAGTTGTTACAAGAGGGCAAGGTCTGACTCCTTTGAATCCCATTGAACCTTATCTAGTCTTTAACAGCAGCAAATTGCCAATATGAGAAGATTGCTGTGAAATAGGCCATCTACTACTAACAGTTTTATCTTCCATTAATCTTTCATATCCCCTTGTGGAATCTGTCCCTTATGGAATGAGAAAATCTAAGTATGTGTGTATAGAGCTTTTATTGTGATGCTATGATCCAAATTTTGTCATATGAGCATAATTATGGATATCTATGATATCTATAGTTATATATCATGTGCTGTCTAGTTTTTTTCTTAGCTATACAAATTAGTATTTCTTTTCCAGTTCTGTTGAGAGATACTTTTTACAAGAATCTAGAAAGGAATCTGGAGTTAAAGAAGAAAAATTTTTCAGTGTGCAAAAGCTCTCTTATTAGATAGATGAATGTAACTGATTGTACAAAAGAGATTGCTAAAAAAAAAACAGATCACTAGATAAATTAGTAGATTACTTTAATTTACCAAGTCTGTCTGATCAGTCATGAAGCAGAATGTAAGACCTCTGAAACTTGTAATGTCTGCTTCAATCAGCCTATTGCAGCTAACAAACAAGATGAGTACATTTAGGCATAGAGAAACCTATGGACTTAACTCTATCCTGCACTTGTCAGTAAACATAAATTACCTGCATGCCTTCTGGACCAGAAATCCCCACACCAATATCAGCCACTTGAATCATACTGACATCATTAGCCCCATCACCTGGTAACAAATGGAAAACACATTATTTGTCATTAACTGAAGTAGTGGTTATTAAGGACAGGTAACAGTACAAAGGATAATCAAGAGAATTGTGAGTGGGATAAGCTATTCATGAATGAAATGTCTGTATTTAGACTAACTATAATTTCAAAGCCTCATCTGTCCCATTTATAAAGATGGGATTTAAGCCAAATTAAATCATCTGAAAACAATTTATAGTCATTAAATGACATATAAAATACAGTTTGCACTTGTTCTTCATAGCAAAATTGTCATCCATTCAAAAGAAAGAATGAATGAACCAATAGCCCAAAAAGTAAATTTCTTGGAAACCTTATTTACATAAAGTGATTGGGCAATTAGAAGTATTATGTGAAAAATCACTATTATATGTTCTAGATGCTGATAAGAAAGGTGATGCTGAATATTGCAAGTTTAGTTGGGATTTACTTTGAAGAAGTAGCAAGTTTAATTCTGGGAACAAAATAAACAGAGCCTGCAGAACAAATAGTTTTTGTTTGTATGTGTGCTTACAGTTAATGTTGTATCCAATTAGTGTTAAGAGAAAATGGATGCTGCTCACGATGTACCTTATGCCTATGATTGTGGCCATAATGTTGAAGTCTAATTTCTAAGGCACAGGACTTTTAGGGTCATTCAGAACCCATATTAGCTGCCTCAGGATTCACGGGAAATAGATTGTCAGATCAGCTGTTCTGTCCTTTCTTGTTGTTCTAAAATGCTGATCATGACATTATAGTATTGTGTTATAAAAGTGCATATCTGCTAAACTCTTTAAGCTTTATTTGTTTATCATCATGGGAAAAGATGCATTTGATTTAAGGTGTTCTTGACAGAAACCATGCATATACTCAAATGTGCTATGAATCACATCTTGCTTTCTGAACCCAGATCTCTGCAGAGCTATAAACTCTATACCTACCCCCAAACAATTTTCCCTGTCTTTTTTTTTATCTGCAAAGGTCAGATTTGAAAGAGTGTTAGTTTCATTCAGATATCCATTTCTATTATTTTCAGATCCCTGCTTATAAAATGAAAATGCAATTTTTATTAATGGGTGTTGCTAATGACTGTTCTTGTATATTTGCTTCAAAGATTACAGAAAAAAAATCCAGGATATGATATATTCCACTTTAGTAATCCTTATTCTTAGGAATTTTAATCCAACATATTTAGAGGTATCACGATGGGAAGGCTGAATTAGATGACAATTACATATTTTTGTTGTTGTTAATTGCGAAGTCGTGTCCGACCCATCGCGGAATGATAAAATAGCAGATTCACTCATTGAAATGCAATGTTTTGAAATTTTCCTCTACTTGATTAGTTACAAGGGTATACAAACAGTAATCTGCATGACATGAGATGCTACAATTAGAAATCTACAAAGACTCCAAGATTCCAATGCAAAACACTTAGAAACTAAGATAAAGGAGTAAGAAGTTGACCATCTATTGAAGTTAAGCATCCATTCCCTTAAGCATCCACAAGTAGGAAGAGGGCGGGAGGGAGAGAAGAGGAAAGCAAAGAGAACAGCAACCCAGTGTCAGAATCCAATTATATTTCATCTCTAGTTATCAACTATAGAAAAACCCATTTCTGCCTTCTCTGGATTCTGTCATACAATGAAGGGAAGGGGGTGAACAAAGGGGCTTTATGGCCCTCACTTCCTTCAGTACACTTCAAAGGGACTGGATGTGGATATCACCAAAAGGACTAACCATAACAATGGGGCTATTACCTTTCATGTACTCTTCTCTGAAGTCTCCATCCAGCCGGCAGTAAGGAAAAGGGGGTGGGTGTGTAATGCCTGAGACTGTCACTGGAAGAAGGGGGTGATTGGGTGGGGCTACTGGTGAACCCCTTAAAACCTTGAATGGGAGAGCTTGGACCCCAAGTCCTGTCTAGAATGCCTGCAACCATTTTCTCTTAATAAAGAATGCCTGTTGGAAGAACTATTCCAAGAGTTCTGTCTTCTTAAGATGCAAAGTGGGGTGGGTCCTTACACCCAGCTCCCATTTTACTTCAGTGTTTTTATTGTGCATGCAAAGTCTTCTGTCTCTACCTGCACTGGAAGGAGGGAAGGAATTTAATTCAGGTCATAAAGTCCCTTCCTCACAACCAGCTGCATTTCAGTAATAGTCTGATAACTGACAATGTCTGGATTTAGCCTGGTACTGATTTCTTTAGCTAATGTTGAACCAGGAATGAAGCTTACATAAGTATTATCTTTGCACAAATTACACAGGCCTTCAAGAGACATTTAAGTAATATAATTTTTTTCTCTCGACAGCCATTTCCAAGTACAAGTGGTGTTAGCTGGGAAATACAGCATAGAGCTTATTAGCTATGATAAAAGATTTCACCTTTCAGTTGTATATGGTATCTTCCATTGAAAGAGAAATAGAGCACCAGCTTTTATTATAAAAAGGCTTTTTTATTATAAAAAGCATAAAGCAGCAGATAAATAAACTGTTGCTGATTAGGTTTGAGGCTTCAACACCTCTTGCTCTCATACTATCTGGTTTCTTCCTTCTGTAACTGCTTTCTACTGCTAATACAGATCCTGACTAGTCAGCAAATTAGCAAGCCCATACCTTCCATGACATATGATATTATATACTTCTATATAATACCAAAGGTTAATTTATATGAAGAGAAATGAGGATATTCACACCTCTAACCATAGTTTAGTGGTTAGAGGTGTGAATATCCTCATTTCTCTTCATATAAATTAAACTTTGGTATTATATAGAAGTATAATACCAAAGTTTAATTTATATGAAGAGAAATGAGGATATTCACACCTCTGACCACTAAACTATGGTGACCTCAGAACAAATCAGTCAATAGCTATAGAGGATTAAAATAGGGTAGTCCTATGCAATTTAATTTTCTCTATTTAATTTCACACATCTGTTATCATTTGATAACGGTCATTCCCCCTCGCAATTCAGAATTATGTGTCTCTCTGTCATTTTTTCCCTATCCCTTGACCATAGTAAACACACAACTTTTTCATGCTTTGCACATTTAAAATGGCTTTGAAATATAATTACATTCAAACTTCAGAAATCACATTAAAATACCTCAGACCTGCATCAGTGCAAAAACTTAGATATTAATATCTTTTTACAAATATATTTAAAAATCTAATCATGTAGGGTAGCCATTTACATGACCTAAAGAACAAAATACAAACAATATAAACATAAGACTTATGAATATATTGCCTTGAATAAAAATCAGGGCTCATGTCTGAATAAAAGGGAATCTTTGCACTGATGATTATGCAAACCGATGCTCATTAAGTCATGATACTTGCCTATGGCCAAAGTCATTGTCTTCAGTTTATCTCTGATCAGTTTGACAACCATCCCTTTTTGAATTGGAGTAGATCGGCAGCACAGCACACAGCGACACTTTCCGGCTAATGAAAGAAATTTGTCTTCCAGGCCTTTGTCCAGAGCATAAGCCAGGGTCCTCCCATCAATGACTAAACCCAGGTTGGGCTGGCTCAGTGATGATGACACAGAGAAGGGGGTAAATTCTCCTTTTGTTTTCTGAAGAAAGTTCTTTGTTGTTTCACTGTAAAATTTAGAATCTACCCAATTCAAGTGTTGTTCCAGCATTGCAGCACACATTTCCTAGTTAGAAAAACAATAAGGAAAGTAAAGTATACCAATAGCAATGATAGGATGGCTGAGGTACTGTTTTTAAAATTATGCTTTCATTTTGTTAAAGACATTGATGTGTTTATAAATTAGAATTAACTAACACAATTTCTGGCACAAAGAACAGCCGAACTACTTCTTTTTCTGTTAGTGGAAGTTCTTAAATAGTTTCACAAGTGGTATGTAGTGTGTGTGCATGTGTGACAGACAGACAGAAGGATAGATAGAATATTGACAAGATAATGGATTGAACATCATGATGCAAACTCTGCTCCTTTTAAGCACATGTGCAATGATGACACAGCCACAAAAAACAGATGGGGCTTGCACTATGGGGCTCTGTTTGCTAAGTTCTCCAATTTTAACACTCCTATCAAGAACAACTTTGTCATTCACCTCATGTTGGGGGTTGGGGAGTGCTGTCCTTGAGTCAGCTTCTTGACTCCTAGAAATTGCCTGGTCATATCTCTGCAGTTTTCTTAGCATGTTTTTCAAATGTAGGTTTGTTATGGCCTATTTCCTAGGTCTGAGAGAAACTGACTGGCCCAAGGTCATCCAGCTTCTGTTGTGCTTATGTACACAAAATACTTTAGGACTGCTTTTCCCAATCATATGTTCTCCAAATGTATTGAATAGCATGGCCATTAAATTGCTAAGTGAATTTGTGAAGAAATTTGATATGTTTGGAGGATACCAGATACGATGGCCACTTTAGCAGTTTTGTTTAAAATTAAAAAGAAAAAAGCAGTCTTTAGCACAATAATAGACAATGGCCACCCAATTCACAGCTGTATAACACCAAATATATTGATTATATCTGAACTAAACCTGCGTACCCTATCAAACTAAACTATATTAATTAAACCTAGCCTACCAGGCACATCTTACAGTCTAATGGATATTGAGCTACTTTTCTCTTTTCTCTTTTTTCTAAAGCAGACTAGGAAAAAAAAAGAATTATATCAATTCTCTCTCTGATGTCATACAATATATATTTGATTATACAGCTATAGCTGATTTGATGAGTCCGAGGATAACTGTTATGGTTCGGCTTCAGGCAACTTGAAGTAGATGGATAACTGTAGAGAGCCACGGAGATAGCCTTGAAGGAATATTCAGAAGCCATTACAGAAAGAACAAGGGCAGAACCATCCCTTAAGCCCTGAGAAAGGAGATGCTATTAGGAGGAAGCTCGAGTTGGCTCCTTCCTGACTCAATGGGGTATAAAAGGTGGGGAGGTAAAACACAAGCAGAGTCGCAATACAGGTAGTTCTCAACTTATGACCACAATTGAGCCCAAAATTTCCATTGCTAAGCAAGACAATTGTTAAACAATTTTTGTGCCCCATTTTAAAACTTTCTTGCCACAGTTGTTAAGTGAATCACTACAGTTGTTAATTTAATAACATGGTTGTTAAATGAATCTGGCTTCCCGATTGACTTTGCTTGTCAGAAAATTGCAAAAGGGGATCATATGGCCCTGGGACGGTGCAACTATCATAAATACATGCCAATTGCCAAGCATCTGATTTTGATCATGTGACCACAGAGATGCTGCAATAGTTGTAAGTGTGAAAAATGATCATAAGTCACTTTTTCAGTGCTGTTATAACATTTCATTAAATGAATAATTGTAAGTCGAGGACAACTTATATTCTGTTCATTAAATCAATCTCAATAAATTATTTAGTCTTCCTGTTGAACTGGTTTTTTCATCTGATCTATCTCACAGAGTTCACCATAACATTCTGTATATTGCTTATGGTTCACCAGATTAGAATTGCATGATAATGTACTTTATGTCATCATACCACGGAATCAGCATTCAGAGTAATGATCTCTTCATCATGATCCAATAACTTGCAGGCATAAGCAATATTAATAGCAGTTTCTTGTTTATCTCCAGTTAGAACCCATATCTGAAGGCCAGCCTTGCGCAGATTTATGATGGTTTCTGGGACTCCATCCTGCAAACGATCTTCAATGCCAGTTGCACCTGGGACATAAGCAAAAGAAAACAGAAAATATGCTTCAAGCATATGGGTTAAAAAGAAAGACAAAATGCCAGTTGCACAAATGGAAATAAATCATTTAAAAGATCATATAATTGTCACTGTTACTTATTACAGACAAGGGAAATGATTTTTAGAGTTGATAAATATAATGTAATCAGAAACATCTCATGCTAATAATCACGATCTTGCAGAAAATGTGCTTTATAAGGCTTATAATGCAAAAGACATTAGATGAAAACTTTGGAAACATTGTCTGGTAACACAAGTGGTTTACAGTGGAATCAATCACCTCAAAAGAAATTTGTGTGTGTGTGTGTGTGGGGGGGAAAGACCACACTTGGAATACTGCATCCAGTTTTGGTCACCATGATGTAAAAAAGATGTTGAGACTCTAGAAAGAGTACAGAGAAGAGCAACAAAGATGATTAGGGGACTGGAGGCTAAAACATACAAGGAACGGTTGCTAGAATTGGGTATGTCTAGTTTAATGAAGAGAAGGACGAGGGGGGACATGATAGCAGTATTCCAATATCTCAGGGGCTGCCATAAAGAAGAGGGAATCAAGCTATTTTTCCAAAGCACCTGAAGGCAGGACAAAAAGCAACGGGTGGAAACTAATCAAGGAGAAAAGCAACCTAGAACTACGGAGAAATTTCCTGACAGTGAGAACAATTAATCAGTGGAACAACCTGCTTCCAGAAGCAGTAAATGCTCCAACACTGGAAGTTTTTAAGAAGAGACTGGACAGCCATTTGTCCGAAATGGTGTAGGGTTTCCTGCCAGAGCAGGGGGTTGGACTAGATGACCTCCAAGGTCCCTTCCAACTTTACTATTATTATTAATCAATTCCAACTTTTTGCAAAAAAAAAGATTTCACAAAGTTGGAATTAATTGATTGACCTCCCCCCCCCCCAAACTTCTTTTATTTCCCTGCATGTGGTGACGGAGGAGCGTGAAGAAGAAACAGGACGGAGCTGGAAGTCAGGCAAGAAGATACATGCAATTCCTGGGGGAAGTGAGAGCATCTGGGTGGTGCTGTGGCAAGCTCTCCAGCTCTGCAGTGGCAGAGAACTGTGACAGAGCTGCAAAGCAGGTGGAAAGATGCTGAAACAGGCCTGTCTCTGTTCTGCAGCTGCCCAGGCCCGCCGAAGGGAAGGCCGACATCTACCGGCACTTATGGTAAATGCGGTGGCATTCCAGCTCTGGCGGGGAAAGGGTAGCTGGCCTAGGTGCTGATGGCAGGAGGCCCACTCATTTCAGCACCCTCCCGTCCCAAGCCTCTGGCACTCCACCTGCCACTTTGGTCCTAGGCTGTCGCCTCCCCGCTCACCTCTCAGGTGGGCCCAGTCAGGCCAGGAAGGCAAAGGCCCCCTGCTCCGGCCGGAGGAGTGTTGGCCTGGCCAACTCCACCTCAGTTGCTGCCCAGCATGGCCACCCCAGGGCTGCAGGTGCTGGCCTAGCACAGGAATTGCTTTGGAAACAAACGAGAAAACCATTTTTTGCCCCACCCAACATTTTCTGGGTTTTTTTCCCAGGGTTTCCCATTTCCAGTTAGGGTTGGGGGGAGTGGGGGTGAGGTTTACTGTAGGCATGGGAGGCCTGGTTATGGCCTCACATGGGTCAGATGAAGGGGGGGATCTGCCAAGCCTCACGGCAGCAGCATTGGGCATGACATGCGATGTGGCAAACGGCTGTGGCCAGCTGAAACCGGCTGTGGAACAAGCTGGGCAGCGGTAAGAGACCGGTATACCATTGGCTAGTGGGGCATGTGGTTCAGATGGGGGGATCTGTCAAGCCTCATGGCAGTGGCATTGGCAGGCACAATGTGCGATGTGGCAAACGGTCAGCCAAAACTAGCTGTGGAAAAGACAGGTGGTAAAGGTATACCATAGGTTAGCAGGGCACGTTAGGTTAGCTTCACCTTGGCGCAGAGGCACTGGCAGCCTCTGTGCAGGCTCTTAAGTAGGGCTTACTTTGGGGGGAGGGCTTATATTAGGCCCAACCCTGAAAATCAAGCTGGGGCTTACTTTTGGGGGAGGCCTTACTTTCGGGGAAACTTGATAGTAAGTTCTCTTACCTTTATAAAGGCTGCTCTATGCTTAGTTAAATTAAGATGGTTTAATTTAGGCATCGGCATGGTTTCATTAATTCAGCTGAGTTCACATCAAAGTTACTATGTACTGTATTTCAAATGTCATTTTCTTTTTTATTTTTTCTTAAATGTTAGAAAGTTCTAATTGTTTGGTCCAACACAAGAACAGTAACAGCTCAACGAGAAATGATATTTTTGACTTTACTGAAATGGGAGAGGGTATGTAAGTGAATGATTAATGCCAAGATACCTAGCAGGTGAAGATTTGTCTCTATACGGCTGGCAGACTGGAACAGCAACTCTTCACGGTTTTCAATAGAAGATTCTGCTTCAATGTGACTTTTTAACCAGCAAGAATAATCCTCATTGCTCAGCACCTTTTGGAAAAATCAAAAGCAAAATGCAAATATTTACAGAATATATAGATCTTAATCCAATCCTAGTGTTCTGCTGTATTGTGACCATAAATCCAACCCCCAGTAAAAAAAAAAGTACCCAGAAATATACACTTCATGATTTTTTTCTGAATCAAATGCTTTCCGGATGTCTTGGATTTGATCTCCAAAAGTCCTTAAGCATTGGTCAAATCATCTGGGATGTTGGGCAACAGGGTGGGAAAGTTTACATTAGGAAGCGGGGTGAGCTTACTTTTTTTGCAATGCATAATGTCCTCAGACCATCAGCAGCATACAAGTTAAGAAACCTTTGAGTTTTGCTTCGGATTTTCTTTTGATGCCTGTTTCGGGCGTCATCTGGAAATAACCAAACAACAGTAAAAAATAGTACTAATCCAGTAGTTTTAACATTACTATTCTTTTCCCTTTGGTTTTCAGAATTGCTAACTCCTTCTATGAAGCCCTAGTTTTGTGATGTTCAAAAGAATTGTTTTAAGTACATGGCATAGCTTTTCTCTGAGATTTTCTATGACATTTTCACTATTTACCATTCATCTGCTCAGTAGAATTGGGAGAGCACTATATTTACCAGCCAGCTGGCCAGCCAGCCAGCCAGCCAAGTAGACAGACAAACAGACAGACAGAGGCTTACATACACTGTCAAAGCATAGACAGTGAAGATCTCATTAGTTGTGATTAATTGCAATAGCTGCCTTTTTGGAAATGTAATACTTATGTTGAGAGCCAGTTTAAAGACTCCAGGAGAGAAACTGAGAGACTGTGAGTTCTAGTCCTACCTTAGGAATAAAGCTAGCTGAATAATTTTGAGCCAGACACACTTTCTCAGCCCTAGGAAAGAGGAAATGGGAAACCACTTTTGAAATCTTGCCAAGAATAAAGAAAGAACCTATCCAGGTAATTGCTAGGAATCAGCCCTGACTTGATGGTACAGAAAAAAACAACCCTTAATTATGTTAGTTTCAATTTTTTAAAAAATATGGGTATTTTTTATCAAGCAAAAAAAATAAAAGCCATGTTAATAAACTTTTAAAAACACCATCTAGTATAACACTGAATAATGTAAAGGTCTATGCCAGCCAAAATATTAAATGTTGATATGATGAATGCATAGGGGGCCCAATAAATCTTTCAAAAACTCTTTCACGATAAGCTTTAATTATTGAATTGTTTTGCACCAGCAAAACTCTCATGGTCAGAAAAACAAGCATCCATTACACACAATACAAATAGCCTCATCAGAAAAGTTTACTTCAACTACATTTCTTAATCCTGTAACTTTCTTCTAGTTTGATTTCTAAAAGGCAAAAAAGGTTCATGCTTCTTTCTTTGACATTTCATTAAATACTGCATACAGAAAATCTTTGAAGTAATTTTCTCCAGCTTTTCCAGAAATATTAAAATAATTATGGCAAGATATTTGTGCTGAAACAAAATCTGTCAAAAATCTGAAGATTAAATTTTATGCAAACATACCATGCAAATGTGTCAAAGGAAACAATCCAATCTGACTACCAAATCTCAAAAGCCATTTTTATTTCAGTATCTTGTTTCATTAGCAGCACAAATGCCCACTGAATATATTTTATATTTTTAATATATTTTATTCATTAATAATAGTTTCAAATATTATTAATCATAACATTGCAAAAGATGTTATTATGTTTCCCATAGCGGCCTACAATTGTGAAAGCTGTAAAAACTAGGCAAGAGGAAAATCGGCTCATTCAAACTGTTAGAGAAGGCTCCTGAGCATTCCACGGACAGCAAAGATGACAAACAACCAAATACTGGAGCATATAAAACCAAATATATCACTGGAAGGCAAAATCACAAAATTCTGCGTAACTAATTTTAGCCACGTCATGTGATCAGATTCTCTAATAAAGGTAGTTATGCATGGAATGGCAGTAGTAGAAAAAAAAACCATACAAGATTGGAATATGTGAAGAGAATTGGTCCATAGAATTGTCCATGATCAAGTGAAGAGCTTCTACTCCTACTCCTCCTTTTTTCTTCTTTCGCAAATAGCCAAAAACTTCACAAATTAAAAAAACCCTTGATATCACAAGATCATTTTAAAACCAAAAAAGTGCATTTAAAACCACATATTAAAATAAGCAATAGTATGGTGTGTATATATGTGTGTGTATATATATATATATACAGAATATATGTGTATTCTGTCTCACAGTATGTTCGTATATCTTTGATGCACTTTTCAGATAAAAATGCACATTCTTGGTTCAGTTAGGTAACTATATGCTGTCAATAACTATATGCTGTCCTTTATGTTAACTGCCTAATTTGCCTCTCTTTTGTTTGTTGAACTTGTATCATTTTTATTCTATGTTTAACACATTTCAAGATTATAGACACTAGTCTTGATATTTGCCAAGTTTTTTTTAAAAAATCAATTTGAACAAAATTAATGTGAAGTGGATGTACTACAAAACAGGTGCAGACCTCTAGCAACATTTTTTTATTCACTGCTCCAAATTTGTAGAAAATAAATATGTTGCCCAACAATGGAAGAGTAGATTGTAAAAATGTTGGGACTTCTGGTTTGCCAACGCAGCCTACATGGATGTCTGGAAGGCAAGCTCCGTCTTCCGCGTCCAGTTTCGCTTCGCTGGGGGACCCTAGAAAGGGTCAAAAGTCGCCCTGTAGGGGTGACCAGCAAGGAGGGAACCCCCGCTTGATCATGGGAGGGCGGTAGCCCTCCCGCTTGATCTGGGGCAGTCCTCCAAACCGGTGGACAAAAGACTGGCCATAGAAATATAGCTCGTCACTAAGCTGCAGACAGCCAAAGTCACACCTACCACCGGGCAAGTATAAAGCAACATGGATGAGACTGGGTGAGATCTACCTCTCTTAAATCCTAACTATCTTTTTTACCTGCATAAGCTGCTTAAAGTACTTTCCCCCCTGTGGAGAGGGAAGGGAGATTTTATCCCTCCCTCTAAAAACAGCGGCAACTGACTATCCAAGGGAGTTTAAAACATTGCAAGAATAACTTGATCCTAATTGGAATTTTATTTTTTAAAGTTTGTGGACTAAAATATTTTCTATTCTTACTGAAGATCTGGGTTTTTATTTATAAAAAAGAAGTAAAACTGAAAAGATTATAAAATCTTTGGACGAAACGAAAACTTTAAATGGTAGGGGCAACATCTTGTGTCTAAACCTGATATTACAACTTGTTATTCCTTAAAAGAGACTGGGCCAACAGCCCAGATTATAGATAAGACTTATGTTACAGAAAAGAACAAGATGTCATCCCAGATATACGAACTCAAATTTTGATTACAATTAAAAAATCAACTATACAGAATATAACAGAAAAAGTGGAACAATTAAATATTATGACAGACAGAGGATTCAACTGATTAACAAATACAGTCAATGGAAAACCCAGGAAAGGGACTGACAATATGGAAAAGGGAAAAGACTTCCTACATAAACCAGAAGAAATCTGAGGATCAAGAAGAAGAACAGACTGAAGAGAAGATAAACAGTTCAGGACAACTACGTCAAGATGGAAAAATAGAGAGACAATTTGTTAGTCCTCTCAAAAAAATGGCGATTGAATGTTTTTTTCTACATCAAACAATATACATAACAACACAGGGAGATTTATTTGATGACTCAAAAGCATGAACATGGAAGACAATTTGGCAAAGAAACAAAGCTAGAATAAGACTGAAGAAAATTGAGGTTTTGAGAATTAAAATAGAATATACTCAAATAGATAAGATGTGTACTTTGAATACTAGATATTGTTATGAGTTGAGATAAAGAAAACTTTGATCATTTAAAACTTGGAAGTATAAATATTAACAGTTAAATTTGAACATTGATTTGCTTATAAAGGTTAAATGTAATTAATATATATATATATAAGCTAAAAATTTATCGATGAATATAATAAATATGTTTTTACTTAGTGGTAATAATAAAAATTACTAGCTTAAATATGAGATAGTAGATATTAAGAGAAAAAGAGAGGAAGTATTAAATGTTGAAATAAGATAAATTTTGGTCATTAAATTTAAGTTATTTGCAAATTATCAGAAAATAAGAATATTATATTGTATTATTAATCAGCTGATGTAAGATAGTGAGAATTCAAATAGATAAGACACGTATCCTGAACATTAGATCTTGTGATGAATTGTGATAAAGGAAATTGGGGTTATTTAAAACTTGGAAATTATAAATATTAAACGTTATATTTAAATATTAATGGGAAACTAAAAATTGGAAAAAATTAACCAGGACGTTGATTGTCTAAAAAGAGTGAATGTTAAAATAACTAGGATAGTATAAACTAAAACTTATTGATAAATGTAAGAAAGTTATTTTTATTTAATCGACATAATAAGAATTGTATTAATTTAAATATGAGACAGTAAATAAGAGCCGAGGTGGCGCAGCAGTTAGAGTGCAGTACTGCAGGCCACTTTAGCTGACTATGTTCAGCAGGTCAGCGGTTCAAATCTCACTGGCTCAAGGTTGACTCAGCCTTCCATCCTTCCGGGGTAGGTAAAATGAGGACCCAGATTGTTGGGGGCAATGTAAATATATAGATACATTGCTTACTGATGTACACCGCTTAGAGAATGCTTGCACTTAAAGCGGTATATAAGTCTCATAAATAAATAAATAAATAAAAATCAAGGGGAAAAGAGAGGAAATATTTAATGTAATAGTTTGTGATCTGTACTAAAGATATTTGTATGTTATTGAATTATTGACCAACTCAGCTGCCACGTTGCTTTTCAAATATTTAAATGTAAAACTAGAAAATCAATAAAATTTTCTTTAAAAAAAGATTGTAAAAATGTTGGAACTGGCAGAAATGGTACAACTGACCTTTTTGATCAGGGTGAAAACAGCAAGTGCATTTTTAAATGGCTGCAAACCTTTATGAATTTTTTGCTAAAAAAAGTGAAATTATGATTTATGAATTTAATGATTGAAAAGATGAGAATTAAATAATGGGTTGAAGGGATTTCTGGAATCATTAAGGGGGAGGAGATCAAAAATTATTATATTTCATAATCCTTCCTTCCTCTTTCTTTTCTTTTCTTTCTCTGTTCTATTTTTTTCCTTTATATTTGACTTTTACTATATTTAAGATTCTTAATAAATATAAATAAATAATGATAAAGAAAAGAAACATGGTGAGTATAGAAACAGTCTACGGGATAATGGCAGGAAATCTTAATAGCATGCATTCAGGTAAACGGTACTTTGTGATTGGTTATGCCACATCAGTTGGCCATTTTGTGACATTCAAACATTTCTTTGCCCCAGAATGTCTGTTTATCACTAGAGTAATCTTGTGCAGGTGTTCAAGAATGAAAATTAAAAGGAGCTTCCTAATATCTGGAAGAGAAGTGTGGACTGTCTCCTTATTTTGCTGCACAAGTGGATTCCACCACTAACTTTTCCATATTGAACTGAAAGAATAAAGCATGAATTTAGGCACATTTTCCTTGTAACTAAGAGTCCTGCCTTATTAGTTTAGGAAGGTCAGAGTTGGGGCAAGCTGAAATACTGGAAGAAGTTATGCTAGCTTCAGTAGTCCAGTCCAGTTATATGTCTGTGTACAACTATGAACAGCATTTAAACCAGATGAAAAATGAATCCTGGATATGATCCAAAATTCAGAACCTTTCTCAAGAATTCTCAACATGCAATAAGGAGATTCTTAACACTTTGACACATTTGAAGATTCAAATAATTCTTCCTAACGCTAACAAGAAGGGAGCAGCCAATTATGCTTTACTGTATCACATGAACAAACTAGATCCTAGTAGGGTTTATCATAAGTAAATAGCAAAAATCTACTGTCTCAAGTTCAATTAAAGCTAATAGTGATTCTGAATATTAGATATAATTAAGTTATTTTCAGCAGTAGCCTTGTTCTGTCATCCATTTAAGGAACTCAACATGTACAAAGAACAAGACCACACATCTAGATTTCTGCTGCTTCTCTCCAACCCCTTGGAACTGAAATATAACTGTCAACTGCAATCTGCGTGCTAACTGTAAGGACCCACCCCACTTTGCAGAATTGGGGTTTTCTATATTTGATAACTAAAGATGAAATATAATTGGATTAGGCTTCCAGTTTATGAGAAGCAGGGCTGTTGGCATAACTTCATTTTTATGTCAGATTTAAGCTTTCCACACTTTCGGGTCAATGTCCAAAAGATTTAAGCTTTTAAGTCATAATCAACTTTAAAAGAATGGTGATCTGTGAGTGGAAGGTGTTGTCTGAATTAACCAGGGTAAAATACACAGCCATAAAATGAAGGAAGACTCAGGAGTTACAATGAAAAATGTATAGTGCCCCCAGAGTTAAAATATCCTGACAGAAAATACCTAGTAATAAAATATATTGAGTGCATGGGGAGGTGGATGACTGTAGGGATGCAAATTCCATCTCTTTGTGATATATATGTTGTGCAAATATATAGGGGAAAGCATGTGTTGCAATATTACAGTGAACATTCTTATTCTTTTGGTGAAACATTTGAATTTGGTCTGCATGGAAAAAGGCATACAGGTGAGATCCACTTTTTTATTTTCTGTTGGTTAATTCTTCTGAAGAGCTCATAAAAGAAACTGCAGTGAGTATAATTTCTAAACATTTACAAAAGTCTTCCACCTCCCCAACTCCACTAGCACTATGGCTGCTTAAGTCATTCTTATTTTATTGTATATTTTACTCTACAAATAGTTTTTACCTGATGAATAGGGCAGAAGGAGGTCCATGATTACAGAATCTGCTCCTTTAGTGTAAACATTTATTTCATTTGTAAGAGGATGTCTGACAACCACTGACATTCTTTTCCGGATGGAGTCAAAGCCCAGGATGTGTAGAACTTCAAAGGTGAGCCTTCCTAGGTGAGGTAACTCGATTGACACCTGGTCAGGCAGCCTGCCAACTAAAGCACACTCATATGCCTTGGATGCATAGACAAGGGCAGCCTCATCAGGGCTCTCAGCTTCATAGCGCAATTCTCCCTCTTCTGCCCCAGTTTCTGAGGTCCAGCTGGCTTGCTGGGAATTGTAACCATTGTTATTCATCTGGGAAGAGTTGGAGAACTTTTCTAGTTTTAATAAAGTGCACTCTGCAGACCCTGGGGAAAGAACACCTGAGCTAGCTCGTTGGCTTGATTTGCTGGTTGCCAGGCTTGAAGAGCTACTACTGTTTGATCCAGAGGTCAGTCGGCTGGGGGTGAATTTCCGAATAAAATCTTCAATTGTCTTTACTGGAGACTTCATTTCAAATCTGATTCTGACCTTCAAGAAAAAAAAAACAATAAGTTGAATGAGGTATTTTTTTTTGTTTGTGACGTGTTGGTTTTAAACAGTGGACAGAAAAAATGAAAAACGAATTATAACATATCAAGATTTAAAATCAACATAACGATAGCTTGCCCTGCACTTCCTTCCTTTCTTAGTTGCTTTTGCACTGAATTAGACAGAAGCCCGAGGGATGTGAAATAAGCCAAACAGATGTGAAATAAATGGCAATATAAAACCATACCATACATTCCCCTTCACATACATAGTAAGCCACAATTGCAATAAATAAGGTTAGAATAAACTACTCTAATGCTGGTTTACTACTCCAAACAGCTATAATTTATTCAACCCCTGATGCTCACCCATCAAACAATACCAAGCACAAGCTATTTTATGTCAGATGTGAACCCAACCAACAGAGTGAATGTTTACAAATATTTTCTTCAGTTCAGAGAAGATGATTAACAGTTCATAACTGGGGAACTGGAATAGAACAAAGATTGTTAATCTGGAGTAGCACATACTGATGTAGCTACACACTGATATTCAATCAGAATTTTCAAATATAACCTTGTGTGTGAAAATAAATGGGGAATAACTTCTTGGCCTAACTTTGTTTCACTGGTTTACATTTAACAGATCAGAAGCTGAACCAGATCAATAAAAACAAACCAGGACATAGGAAAACAATATTCTCCAGCTTAGAAGATATAATAATAAAGTTTTATGATAAGGATTTTTCCGGGGGCCCCAAGTAACCAAAAATAAAAATAATCAATAAGAAGTTTTTTCCTTTGTTATGGAAAGCTCCTTTCCCCAGATAAACAAGGCAGCTCTTTCAAAGCAGGGAAGTAATTCCAAAAGGCTTTTAACAGGAGAGTAGTTAGGCAAAAAGAGAGAGAGAAAAGTCTCACTGGGATCATCCACGATGGTTTCTTAACGCTTAGATGTTCTTTTGACTTTCGGCTGGAGCAGCTAAATGATCAGCCATGTTACTGGTCGATCTTTTCTCCGTTGGCCCTGAGGAGCTGCCTCGGACCGCAGAAGGAGCTGCCTCCTCCCCCTGCAATCAACGAGAGTCCTCCTCATTGGTAGTCACCCCTCCAGGGTGACTTTTCGACCCGATTAGGGGTCTACCAGCAGAGGAAAAGCAGGTAATGAAGAGAGAAGTCTCTTCGTATGCATACACCCACTGCAAGCCCAAACCGGTTTTTAAAGGGATAAATCTTTATTGTTTGGAAAAAACAACAACAACTCTATGAGAAGCCGGAAAAGAGATTGCACAGCTCTTTGACTTTGCTAATCTCATTCTTGGTGTCTGGAAGAAACTTTCATAGTTTACTGAGGATACCTTGTGGAGAAATTTAAAACTGCAACTGTTTCTTGTTGTTGCTTTTTTGGTCCAACAGCTGTTATTGGTGGGGGTGGATACTGACTAAATGTTTTGGAATATAGCCTCCACTAAAAGATAATAGGATTGGATTTAATTACTACTGAAATGGAGAAATCATATTCACAACTCAACTCATACTGGAAAAAATTTATGAAGCTACTGAGGAAATATGTTTCCAAATAAGAGAGAGAACTGCAGAAATAATAAACAGAAATTCTACTGTGAACTTACAAACTGACCTTCAGACTCTATTTGATCATTCTACAGACCAAAAAGCAATAGAAGAGGAATTAATTTACATACAGCCTACAGAGATTTTGGATGACCAAAAAATGATTGTACTATCTACAATTGCAAAACTAACAGAAATGGACTTGAAATTACAACTGTTGGAGAATTATGACAACTTTGATAAGCAACTACTAATTATAAAATTGGACATGATCGAGTGTTTTATCCAGCAGACAGGAGCCAGGCATCAAAAACAGAGGATGGGAGGCTTTTTACTGACCCAAATGACATTACAAGCAATAATGGGAGATCTATTTGCTGAAATAGAGGCTTTGTTATGGAAACCTGCTTGGCATAAAAAGAAAACCAGAATAAGACTAAAAAGAGAAATTTAAAATAATATGTAATGGATTAAAAAGGTTTTGAGAAATATGGATTGATTTAAGGACTAAGATTTAGAGTTGAAAATTTGTGATTATTAGAATATATATGTTAAACAGAGTAAGAATGTATTTTTTGGAATAATATGTTTATTTGTATGAAAATTATTTTGTAATGGAATGAGAATAAGAATATGAAAGAGGTTTTTAGAAATTCGGATTGCTTTAACAACTAATTGAGTGTGTTAAGTTAGTAAGATGATGGTTTGTGTAATAATAGGTGTGTTCTTTTTTTAGACATGATAATTATTTGAATGAGATTTAAATGATATCTGAAGAAATAAGAGAGATTTGTGATAAAATCAATGATTTATGAGATTATTAATTAGAATATATCTGGATTAGTATTTTAGAAGGAATACCCAAAGTGATAATACGTTTATCTAAGATTAAATTGGACTATGGTAACTGTAAATTAATAAAGTTCAAAACAGGATTAGGTTTTATAAATATGTAATGTAGAAATGGATTATGTTAAATAGGTTATATTATTTGAGGGAAATAGAGAGGGAACATTTAATGTATTTACTTGAGCTATTATATTATTTTGTTTTTAGATGATCGATCACCTAACCACCATGGTGTGTCTTGAACATTCTGTTGTAAAAGTTAAAAAACCAATAAAATTTGTTTTTTAAAAAAACTCTGTAATTGGTTATTCTTTCCCTAATATGTCCTTTGGAATTCATGTTCTTGGGTCCAAATATATACTTACATTTCTAACAACTTTCTTCTTGCAAAAGATTAATAAAACAAACACAAAATAATAAAGAAGCAAGAGCTTTTATCAGGATGTATATGGGATAGAGGAACAATAGGAAATTTATCATTCTGTTGTGATTATAATAGAAAGATTAATTGCTCCCCACATCAGTCTTTTTGTATCTTTCCTTGCTCTATTTGTTTTGGATTTGTTTTGAGCCCTTCACGGACTGTAGTTTTACATTCATAATAAAACCAATTGCAAATATAATATATCCCTCTCCTATCTATATAAAATTTTCTTTATGTGGCCTGGAAAAACGTTTGCTCCAAATGTCTCTAGTTTTGAGCATTACAACCTAAAAAGAATATCAACAAAATGAAATGTATTCAGAAGAGGGTAATTAATATGATTGATGCTAGGAAACAGAATTCTAAAAGGAAGAATGAAGGAGCTGAGGCAATATGGAAGCTCTCTTCAAAGAACCAATGTAGATAATTTCTTTTCTATTGTTCCAGCACTTAGGAATTGAATCTATGTGTTTAAAAATGTAAAAAAATATATTCAGAAGAGTTTCCCTAACATTCAGTCTAAGAATGCAAGCTGCTTGAAAGTGGAACAAACTTTCTCTGGAGATAGGTATTCCTTCGGGTTGACTGAGGATCTTAATTAGAGGTTGTATGATTATCTTTATGGCTTGCAAGCCACTCATAATTGTCTTATCAGTGAGAGGGGTGAAATATACATCAATTAATTAATTAAATATATTTAATAATAAAACTATCAAGATGGTGGTAGTTTTAGATTTTCTGCATTCACAGCATGCCATGTGAAAATTCTCCCACAGAGAAAAACAGAATAGCAAATACTCTTGAAAAAAAGTCACAAAAAAAACCTAGTTCTCCTGTGCAAAAAAAAATAGGCGGGCCAGGCAGTTTGTTATATAGGGCAGGAAAGAGAAAAAAGTAATGATAAAAATAATTTTTTTTTCTATGTATCAGACTTGCTCTTGAAACACAGCATTTACTGGAATATTTTTAATATGGCTTATTTACTTTTCTTCAATAGTGATCAATTATCAGAACTTCTTGTGAACTTGTCTAATTGGCTCCAGTCCTGCCTGTTGGGTGAAGGTTGATAGACTGAATTGAATGATTTCTGACATGCTTTTAATTCATATAATTCTAACTTAAGTTGTTGCGATCAGATTTAATGAGGTGAACAATCTTTTCTGCATGCACTTCAAAGAAGTTCCATGGAAACAATAGGCCATTATAAAAATATCTGGAAAGCATACGCAGAGTCTAGCTTTACAATTATTTAGGAATAAGTCCAAATAATAATAATAATAATAATAATAATAATAATAATAATAATAATAATAATAATAATAATAGCAGAAAGGAAACCGCCCCAATAGCAGAGGAACAAAAGATCAACTCCTAATAGACAAAATGATCTTGGAAAACTGCAAGAAAAGGAAGACCAACCTGAATGTGGCATGGATTGACTACCAAAAGGCATTTGACTCTCTGCCACATGACTGGATAATCAAGTGCCTAGAAATAACAGGAGTCAGTAGAAACATCAGAAAATTTGTGCAAAGATCGATGGCACAATGGAAGACACAGTTGCAGATCAATGGTGAGAGACTGGGAGAGGTTAATATCAAGAGAGGAATATTTCAAGGAGATTCATTATCACCATTACTATTTGTTATTGCACAGTTTCCTCTGTCAATAATACTAAATAACTCAGGACATGGCTATCAAACATCAAAAACATCTGCCAGACTATCCCACCTCCTTTATATGGATGATCTGAAGCTGTATGGAAAAACATCATCTGAAATAGAATCGCTGCTCAACACTGTCCGTATATATAGCCAAGATATTGTAATGGAGTTTGGCTTGGACAAATGTGCCACACTTACTATCAAACAAGGAAAAATAATGAAAACTGAAGGAATCAAGATGCCCCACGAAAATAACATTAAGAGTCTGGATGAGGAAGAGTACTACAAATACTTGGGTATCCTTCAAGCTGACAACATCAAGCACACTGAAGTCAAGAAAAGATTAGAGGTGAATACATCAAGAGAGTGAAGAAGATCTTAAAATCCAAACTCAATGGAGGAAATACCATAAAGGCAATCAACACCTGGGCAATCCCAGTCATTAGGTACACAGCTGGAATAGTGGACTGGACTCAAGCAGAACTAAAAGCAATGGATAGGCAGACCAGAAAAATAATGACAATGAATCATGCCCTTCATCCACGCAGTGACATTGATAGACTTTATCTACCAAGGCAAATAGGTGGGCGTGGAATGCTACAAGTACATCAGATGGTTGAAGAAGAAAAAATGGCTTTGGAAGAATATCTGAAGAACAATGATGAAGATGCACTGAAATTAGTATATCAGGAAGGCTTACTAACTACTGGAGAGACCAAACTGGCCTACAAGAAAGACCAAATGAAGAACAGAATAGAGGCATGGGAAGACAAAGCACTACATGGCCAATACATGAAAAAAATAGCTGGGAAAGCAGATAATAATAAAACCTGGCAATGGCTAAGAGCAGGAAAATTGAAGAAAGAGACCGAGGGACTAATTCTGGCTGCACAAGACCAAGCCTTAAGGACAAATGCATATAAAGTCAAAATTGAGAAGACAGCAACAGACAGTAAGTGCCGCCTATGCAAAGAAGCTGAAGAAACAGTGGACCACTGGTAAGCTGTTGCAAGAAGATTGCACAGGCTGACTACAAGCAGCGGCATGACAAAGTAGCAACAATGGTGCATTGGAAGATCTGCAAAAAATATCATTTGCCTGTAAGCAAAAACTGGTGGGATCATAAAATAGAGAAAGTCATAGAAAATGATAAAATTAAACTGCTCTGGGACTTCAGAATTCAAACAGACAAGCACCTGCAACATAACACCCCAGACTTAACAATTGTCGATAAGAAAGACAAAAAAGTCTGGATAGTGGATGTGGCAGTGCCTGGAGATAGCCGAATAGAAGAGAAAGAACTGGAGAAGATAACAAAATACAAAGACCTACAAATAGAAATAGAAAGACTGTGGCAAAAGCAAGCAAGGGTAGTACCAATAGTGATAGGCGCCTTGGGTGCAATCCCAAAACAACTGGAGCACCACTTGAACACCATTGGCATTGACAAATTCGCTGTTAGTCAATTGCAAAAGGCGGCCGGCCTTATTAGGAACTGCTTCCATCCTGCGACGATATCTGTAATACCATCAAACATCCACATCTGCCTATCCCAGGTCCTGGGTAAGGACTCGATAGGATTTGACAAAATGTCAAATCCAGTCTGAATATCTGGCTGACTGTGCGATGATCGATAATAATAATAGTAGTAAAGTTGGAAGCGACCTTGGAGGTTATCTAGTCCAACCCCCTACTCAGACAGGAAACCCTATACCATTTCAGACAAATGGCTGTCCAGTCTCTTCTTTAAAAGACTTGCTCCTAATTTAGTAAAGACTTGCTCCTAATTTAGGATATAGGATCATGCTGCATATATAATCAGTTCCAATAAATGAGAATATTTGTAGCTCAGGATTGAAATGACGGGTTCTTGGTGTTCTCTGAGCTTGGATGTTTTCTTGAAGACATTTCATTACCCAAACTAAGTAACGTCATCAGTGCTAGTAAGGAATGAGGTTTGCTCTCAGTTTATATTCTAGTGGCTTGCTCTGTCAGTGTTGGTATGGGTAGTCTTAGAGATTCAAGCCAACTAAAGCCCTTCAAAACATCCTAAGTAAACTAAAAGACCCAGCAGCCCCAAAATAATAAAAAAAAAAAACAGGAATCATCTACACAACATACAGTATAATGACTGCAACAATCACTACATTGGACAAACAGGCAGAAGACTGGCAGAATGCATCCATGAACATGAACTAGCAGTCAGAAGACATGAGGAAAACTCTTTAATTATTTAACATATGGACAGACTTAACCAAAGTTTCAGTTGGGAAATTGTGACCATCCTAGACCAAACCAAGTCCAAAAACATTAGGGAATTTCTTGAAGCCTGGCACTCTGACAAATTAGCCATCAATTGACACATAGACATGAACAATATCTACAGACTATGCAGAACAGACAATCAACCAGCCAAAAAGACAAAAGCATCTCTCCATCAACAATCAGCATCTAGATCAGCATAGATTAACTCCAAGATTAACATCAGACCAACAATCAAGTAAACAATACCTCCACCAAATAACTACCAAACAAACCAACTGTAAACAACTCAACCAAAGAACCTCTAACCAACACCCTCACCAAAACTGATAGGGCAAACCACTATAATATAAACTGAGATCAAATTCCATTCCTTACTAGCACTGATGATGTTAATAAGTTTGGATAATGAAAACAACCAAGCTCGGAGAGCACCAAGGACTTCTCATAATAATCAGTTCAACAGCAGGTCTAACTTACCTTTTGTCGTGGTTGATTTGGAGATGTAACCACCACTGTATTGCAGATTGTCAAAGCTATGAAAAAATCAAAGATGTCTGAAAGTTCAGGGGACAGTTGGGATAATGGTTGATCGGGATTTCTCAGGTACTTTGCACATTCTTTTACTTTCTGTAGCAAATTAGGATCAGGTGTGATATCTTTTTCCTGGAATAAAAAAAAATTGCAGAATGAACAGTTTGCAAATTGCTGGTCGTCTGCTATACCTTCCCAAATCTCTAGAATGTGCTTGTTTTGCAAATGGGCTCTAACTTCAATAATCCCATTTGTCTTTGAGCAAATCGTTTCTCTCTTATTCAGAGGATGTTGTGATCCAACTCTGGTCTTAACAAGTAAGGGTTTTTTTTTTTTTTTGGTTGTCCATTAAAGAGTAAAATTTTATATGGATAGGGAATCACTTTTAAGCAATGTAAAAAACCACTACTTATGTTTTCAGTTCTATGAAACAAACAGTAATATTTATTCACTGGAAGTTTGTTTCAGTGCAATTGACTGTAGGCATGCAACTTGTTATAAAACTATTTATAAACTAAACTTTCCCTGTTGGGCCTCTTATCATATTGCTAGTGGTGTGTGGGTGTGTATGTGTGTGCATGAATTTATTTATTAATTAAATTTGTTTGCCGCCCATCTCACTCCAAGGCGATTCTGGGCAGCTTGCAACATCAAAGATGACAGATTAGGAAAAACTAAAAAAAGTTTTAAAAAATAAATTGTGCACTTCAGTGAATGGTTAAAGAATCTGAGAATGTATAACATACAAAAAAGATCACTAAAAGGATATGATAGCTGTCTTCAAATATCTGATGGTTTGTCACACATAAGAAGATCAGTTATTCTCTATTGTCCAGAGAACAGGACTAGCTAGGATCAATGGCTTAAAATTACAAAGAAAGTTGTTCAGTTCAGATTGTCACAGACATAAAATGGTGAATTCTTTATTAAAGGTCTTGAAACAGAATCTGGATGGAATAGATTAATTCTAAGAGTATGATATTTGATTGAAATAAATTGATTTGACATAAAAACACAAAACAAACTAATAATTATAGGTTATCCTTTTTCTATAATTTTATTAAAGATTTTTTTAAAAGATAGAAGTCTAATACTAATATAAATAAGACAAACAAATTAAAGAGAAAAGTGCAAGAAATGAAAAGGAAAATAGAAAAAAGACAGAAGTAGCTTCTGATCCTCTTTACAGCCATTATAGTACAATTATAAATTTATCTACCGGTATTACTGTATAGTTACAATATAACTCTTTTTTCTATAATCTATTTTGTCTAATCATCAAAACAATAAATCATGTTAATTTCTTCTTGTTTCACATAAAGGTCTATATAAGGTTACAGCACATCCTTTATTAAATTGAGTTCTAGAGGTCCTGCTGATTCCATAAGAGAAAATGAATCGATACTACCAGTTTATCAAGGGCAACTGGAACTCCCATGTAAACTCAACCTAGGAAGAAGTAGCTGTGTGGTCCATGAGTTAACTACAAGTTGCTTCTTTTATTGTTGGCTTGTCTTCCCCATCATACCTTGTACCTACAATATAGAATATAAACTCCCAGTTGCATTGCAACTAGCTAGGAACTAAATTTGCTCAGCTTCTGCATTCCTACAAAGATAACAAAGTCAGAAGGTTGGTTTGGTTGACTGCTAACATGTTTCATGGGTCCTCTGGCCTGGCAAGTCATGATGTACAGGTTTAGTAAAACATAGTTAGATTGGGTACAATTAGATTAAAATGATGGTACTAAGGGAACAATTAGAATAAAATATCACTTTTCCATCTTTACTTACCATTGGGCTACTGAAAGCTGTATGCTTTGAAAGAATACTTGCTCTTTTGGCTTCTGCTCTGCTTCCTGTTCGTCTATGAGATTTTACACTCTGGTTTCTGAAGGTGACTTTGATGCTCTGGTGACTACTAATACTATCCCGCTGAGACAATGTCCCCACTTTAGGTGAGGTTTCTTCATCTTCTGAATCAGCTTCCTGGTACATAGCTAAACGCTTTGCTTTTTTTAATGTGTGGGAAGAAAATGTATATAAAAAATGAAAACATGAGGTTAAACAGGTTGCTGTCAGATAAAAATCCACTAAGACTCTTAGCACAATCACCAATTGAGATCTAAATATGAAACAATACTCTAATTTGCAAAATATTTCAGAACTTAGAGCTTAAAAAGTTAGTAGTCTTATACTACTGAAATATTTTTTGACCTCAGGAACACAGTTTTAGTAATTAGTTCTTTAGTTATTTCTCTAATTTGCCAGATATACAGTATATCCTGGCACTGGATTACTTTGTCTCAACAAAATGCACAAAACTTTATTCCAACCCCCTAAAACCTGCTACATTGCTAAAATTTGGTAGTTGAAATTTGGTAGTGCATACAGCTTCCCAAATTATTTGTCATAACTGCTGTAGAAGTTGGCATACAATGGCCCTAAATGGTACCCTCCAAAATCCCAATAATAAATTAAAATATTAATTAAAATAAAAAGGCTGAAATAATACAATACTAAGTTTTGTTAAATTTCATGATGCTTGGATGATCACTGAAAGCTCATGGAATTTTGTGAGATCACAAGATTTTAGACATATTAAAATATTTTTATATTTTTATACTCATGCTATCACAACAAATTTATGCAACAGTGCCTGAAAAGTTGTTGGATTTTGAAATACAATTACTTTCCTATCCATAATAAACACCCCAAATTGCCACCATCTTGTGTTATCATCTTGCATTACCCCCACAACCTCTGTGCTTTTGAAAGTCCCTCTTGTCCACAAGCAAATTGCTCCCCTCTGCATTAAATTATACACAGCATGTTTATTGATAAAATGGGTGTATATGTATTAATATGTACCCAGATGTTGCTAGTTTCCAGGAAAGTAACATTACAGTAATTGCATATTTCATTAAGCAGTAATTGCAAAATGATGAAACAACAAAAAAATCTCAACAAAACAAAAATACAGGAATCTGGAGCCAGTGAGAACTTTGAACTATTATAATCTTTAGAACCAATGATTAATACATGGAGGATAAATGTCAGTGCAAAACACCACATAGTTGTGAGTTTGCACTAGTGATTTAAGGATAATGCAAGTGGCTTAGAGTAAATTCCAATTCCATTCTGGCTATTTATATAATCCTTCTTATTTAAGAGGAACTTAAATAACAGGGCTTGTATAGAGCCCAGAAATCAGTGACCCATTAGCATACTGACTATATGGATGAATGATCTGCTGACTCAATCAAGAACTCAATTTATGATACAGATAAATCTTACTCCATTATTTATTTCTTTGTCTTAGAAAGGCCTGCATGTAGTGTTAAAGAATAGCCACATCATTAGGCAAAGTGGGTAATCAGGGCTAGTTTCCTGAATTACATCATTGTTGGAAGACACACCATGTGTCCTTGAAGCTCAGTCTATGTCTCCTAAATTAGTCTGCTGACCTAAGGTAAGTTGGAAGCCACTAATGTTACTGATATTGAAGTAGAATTCTTGAAGAGAATGATGTTTCCCCATCCTGATGATGTTCCTTTAAAAACAAATATTTAAAAATTGGGCTGTTCTTCCAGGCTTTGGAGTAGGGTGTTTGTAGAATACTCTTGGTGCTATGTTTTGTCTGAATGAGTATGTTTATTCAGAATAGGATTTTCCTTTTTAATTTTCTATTTTTAAATACATACAACCTAAAGCAATTCTGAGCTTGAATGGCCTTCAAAACTTATACTGCAAATAAACAAATAAAAAAATGTCTTCTTGTACTTCAACTTTCAAAGTTGTGAATGCTCCAACATTGGAGGATTTTAAGAAGAGATTGGACAACAATTTGTCTGAAATGGTATAGGATTTCCTGCCTGAGCAGGGGGTTGGACTAGAAGACCTCCAAGGTCCATTCCAATTCTGTTATTCTGAAACTTAAGATAGCAAAATATCTTAAACAAACCACAATAATAATGAGATTCTTATTACTGCTTGTTACAACACTCTTGAGACTCTGCCATGGGCTAAATGAAGGATATATTTGAGTTACAAACATAAGCCAGAAGCCAAGAATAGACTGGAGGGCTGATAGGCCTAAAACCAAGGGTTAAGGGTGGGGACATCAGTAAGATCACCCAAGGAGAGCTGCTCATAGTAACAAATTATATCAGGAATGTAAATATGTGCTTAGTGGACGTTCCTGAATGACCAGCATCATTAGCCAGTTTAGCCAAAAGTGAAAGATGCTGGAAGGTGTAAATCTGGAGTACCACAGGTTTCTCCTGGACCACACCAGATGATCATCTCCGTTTCCAATTTCATTTCCATCCCACTTCAACTGCATAGGGAACTATCCTGATGAGAAATGAACACAAATATTTTCTGCATCATCCAGATTTGTTTTATGATATTATACTGAAGGGAGAGTGAACAATTTGGACATTACAGAGTAACACAGATGGGTTTTAACTGAGGATTAATTTATAATGACTAATTGAATAAAATAATCAGTTATTTAATTCAGTACATAGCTCCCTCCATTTTCTGGCTCAATGTGACAAGGCTATTTCATTTGGAAATAGCTCATAAAACCTAGTAAAGCCCATGAGAAAAATGTCTTTGCAGTGTGCTTCTTCCTAAGCTGGGTGGTATTATCTTGCAGTTTTATTTGCATTTAATCAAGAAGAGAAATAAATCTGTAGGGATTATTGAAAATAAACAGTGCATTAGGAAAAGATAGAAACTTTGTCAAGCATTATGTATGCAGGATATTAAATTAAAATTAGCAATGAATAGGAAATGGTGGATCATAGGTCAATATAAACTAAACTCCAAATAGTTATGAAAGCTATGAATAATTAATTTGAAAAACATCACCAAACACTCTTATAAAAGTTCATTAGGAACTAAAATAGCCTCAAGTCGCTAGTTATCTATTTTTGGATTCACAAACCAAGTAGGCAGAGTGTTAAAAGAATCTTCTGATCTAGACATTTGGAAATCTATTTTTGTCAATTCTTGTGTAATTCAAAGTGTTCCAGATAACATTTGTGCTAATTTCATTCACCTTGAGACATGCCAAAGTTTTATATTAATCTAATACAAGATAGAACTTGGTAGAAAATTTTTAATTGTTGGGTAAGCCTAAAAATAATTTCATCTTATTTGCAGAAACAAGACACATACTAGGTCATATTGGTAATTAAGATAAAGGAGACCTTAGCATCAAAGCTGCCATTATTAACAAATGTAAGAAGGTGGATTTGTACATCACACAAAATAATCATTTTAACTTTGTTGAATAATCTACTATGGCCTGTTCACACACTGCAAACCCTGGGATACAAGCCACAATGTCTAGATACACAGACTGCATGAAGCCTAACCTAATCCAATTCAACCCAATTCAGCATGGCTTAACATGTGTGGAAACCATTGTGGTGACCAATAATGTTATAGAAAGTTGGAACTAAAACTGTATTTTGAATGCTTCAATTCTTTGATTTGTTTGACTATCTTCATGTGGAACAGGCAGGGCAAATAGAACTGAGTCACACTGGACTTTTCCCTCATACCTATTTAAAAGGGAAATAAATATATCAGGATTGACTTTCAAGAACTTTCCAACTATGAGCTAATAACTAACTAGAGTTAAATAAAAGAGTTTCAAATCCAGGTGCTTTTCTGAGAATCAGAACTGAATTCAGTGTCAGCTTATAGTTAGGTTTTCATTTTACTAATTGGGAGAAAGCTATTTTGTCATTGTTAAATAACAGATCCAAAATATTAATAGTATATATATTAATGCAGAAATGTATCAGTAAATACAGAGATAGATTCTGTAAGAAACAGAAGAAAATTCTGAACTGTGTTATGGTTAGTCTTTATATTTTCTTATTTTATGTTACTTGAACATTGGCTGATCATTTACTCACCATTCACAATAACCATTGCTCTTATTCAATTATTTTACACTTGTGATTAACAGGTATGCAAGTGTTTTATGTTAATATGCAAGTCTTTTAGAGGCCACCTTACCTCTATCCCTCATGTACTAGAGGGCAAGTGTTGTGAGAAGTTTGCTATAATTGTATTTTTTTCTGCATCCTTTAGAACTTGATTTGCAAAGAGCCTGCCTGCATTCAGGCTCCTTGCTACATTTGTCAGCTATGGAAAGAAAAGCTAATTAGCACATCTTGACTCTTCCTTTCATTATATAAAGAGAAGAAGTTTTGATTATATTATAATTAATTAAAGTTTCCATGTTGATCTCTGTAGTTAAGTAGACCAGGGAGAAAGAAAAAGCACGTAAGGTTTCCAGCTGCCTGACAAAACTGCACAAACCATATAAAAAGGAAACTGTGCACACTGTACAATTGAAATGATTGAATACTGATTTCTTTATTATCAGCAAACTGACATAAATCTGAAAGGGCATCAAAATGCAAATATGTATGAATATAATCAATATAAAAGTCTGATATTAAGATTAATAACTATGCAGGAACTATACTTGTGGGACGATGGGGTTGTAGAAACATATAATTGTGACTACCTGTGTGATCAAAGCTCTGCATCTTTGTGCTGTTGTGGTCGCTATCTTGACTAATCTTTTAAACCTCTTTTATTCTTCCTCTTTTATTGTAATAAATAAACACTTTTTTAGGCATATAACCCTCCTAAAGACCAAATCACTTCTATCATGTAAGATCTATAACTGAATTCTCCCTTAACATTTAAAAACAGCTATTACATTATTTTGATGGTGGTACAGTGTTGACTCAGAGCTGTATCTTTGGAAGAAAATGCAGGCGTAATACAGATATTTGTTTCCTTAAGTCTAGCATTTTCAAAGAGTCTGTGGGAGAGTTTGTTTTGGAAAAAGGAGGGAAGCAAACGTGTCCCACAATCACAGCCTTGTGTGTAACTTTCTGGTTTATAACTTGGTAACCTAGACATTGCTTTCTTGAATCAATAATAACTAGCTGTTATGGAATATGCCAGGACTTTT